TGTGATAAGAGAATTTGATAAATATTGTATTTTCTAATGTAAATATGAAGTGAGTTGATAAAGTAGAAAAAAGTGTCCAAATTTCGATGCTGTTTTGCCTCAACAGCATTAAATTGTGTCAGGCCAATGTGTACGGTAAAGTGGCCCTTCATGGCAATTTAGGGCTAAAAGAACAAGGCCCTCGTATCCCAATGTCATATTTTTGGGGCATGTCAAAATTACTCTTTAATCCCCAGTCACATTTCTTTTTTTTTTAGCAACAAGATAGAAAATAATAATATCAATTAACAAGAGTATATGAGTAGTTTTGAAAAATAAACCAAATCCCCTTCTAGTTTAATTCTATGTTCATAAAATATCTTTTTGTTAAGGAAAACTTACTAATAGGTATTATGTTTTTCCCTAAAATCTATTGAGTCTTGACAAATATTTACATCACACTAATTTTTTTTATTCATCCATATGCCGACTTCTTGCGTTTTAAATTATATATTATCTACCTGATAGTTTTTATAAGGAATGTAATTATTAATATTTTTTAGAATTACCAATATGGGATGTAAAGGAGAGCTTTGAATCCTGCATATTGTCGATGGAGAAGAGTTTCGCAATGAGAATTCTAACACTTTGGGTTTTTAGAATCAATTACTTAAACAAAAATTGAGCATTTGGAAGAGAGAGAGAGATGCAGCAGGCGTGCAGGAGTAAAACATGGGAGGTAAAGAGAGCCCATCCTTTTTCCCTTTCACGAGTTAACAAACGCAACTTTGAATGATCACTTTCTACTAATCCACAAAATGGTTTCATCATTCCCAGCAAACTGCATATATATATAGAAATAAGACAGTGACTTCTCTACATGTTTCTGAACCAGCATGGCCACCACTCTTCCATGTTCTACAATAATGTCTACACCAGCAAACCAAATCCGACCATATTCAACTTTTTTTTTTCCTATAAGAGAGACAAACAAGTTAGACAGGTTAAAGAGGAGAACTCGAACTCAAAAAAAAGAAAAAAAAAAAATTATCAACTCAGTTTCAACTTAAAACCTGGGTGCCATCTCTTCTTAAAATTTTGAACTCAAGTTATAAAAATAGGTACGAAATACAAGTTCAATTTTGAGATTGAAATAAGCTTAATACTCTTAAATAAATGTTTGGAGTTTTTATTCAAGCTCAACTTGAGTATAAAAAATGTTTGTCAGCATATTTCGAGAATGGGTTGAGGTTGAACAACCCAAACTGCAAGCTTAATTTCCATATAGACGATGTTATGTGATTCAAATAAAGCATTGAAGAAGTAAATTCGATCCCCATATACTATACTTATAACAACTCTCATCCCATTCATCTATATGAAATTGAACTTTATTATTCTTTAAAATGTATAAAGGGATACCATAATGCATGTGGCGGGTCTCAATAAAAAGTTAGCCACAAAACTTGTGTGCAGTTTTGTGACCCCGTCGAACTCAAAAAAATCACCCTTGTGTATGAGGTGGAGTATACAACGTGTGGCAATGAAGTTGTACTAAAAAAGGGTGTGTTTTATTTTACATATTAACAAAAAAGGATTGAAAAAAATAATGTCTGGCCACCTTATTCAACTTACACTTATGTTTGAACACTTATTTTTGACCCGGTATTATTACCTATAAATAAGCCAAGGCCTGGATGAATAGTGATTTATAGCCACATACACCTTTTTAAATAAACCCACTTATTTAATAGGTTTGAATAATTCAGTTGGGATGAGGTAAATGTATTACTTTTTATTGTACGAGTTCTTTCTTAATTTATTATTTATACATTATTAAATACTCTATCCAAACAAAATATTGGATGAGGTAAATGTGGAGTTCACTACTTCTTAATACCTGAACCAAACATATATTAAAAAAGATAAGTTTTAAATTTGTTTTTCTTTTCTAGCTGGATGGTTATGGAATGGATGTAACTGTCTAATCCAATCCATCTTAATACCCAATCCAAACACACCCCAAAAGTTTTGAAGAGGTATCCAATTCATGATCCAATTTGAAAGCAAATTATTGACTGTTGAATCAGACAGGCATGACAATGGGCTTGCAGCCTTCGACATGCACTTTGTAAAGGCAATGCATGACCCGACCTTGCCATCTTAGAGAGAGAGAGAGAGAGAGAGAGAGAGAGAGAGAGAGAGAGAGAGAATGTTATTCTTGATGTTATAAATGGGCAATTTTACCAAGCTGATCTTGATCATAGCTTGGACATTTTGTATTATGTCTCAGGATACCAATTAACTTATCAAGTTGAGTTCGTACTAAACTCACTTACTCGACAATCTTAAGAATGCACTTAAACTTGATTCATTCATCAGATGAATCAATTTTAAAACAAATTGATTTCGAGCCTAGTTTAAATAGCTCATTTTGTTTACTACCCCTAGTTCTCCGTAGGAATCAATCCATTCCATGTTGTCACGTCCCTTGGTACGTGGACATGCCAAACTTTTCTCTCTCAGTGCAATTTCTCTAACCAATTTTAGGGTTACAACTTAATGTTCAATTATAGTACTATAAAATTATTTTTTGATACTATACCTTATTTTTTCATCCATGAGAATGCGACATTTATAAAGTTTCTTATGTTATTATTTCTCTTTACTTTATTATTTTCATTATCAATAATGTACTTCAACCGAAGACTATAATTACAAATTATTTTTTAATATAATAACAAGAAGTTTTGTCCATACCCAAGACTAATCCAAAAACCTTGCAAAATTTTTTATTTTTCTATCATCTCTCTTTGTCCCCCACTGATGAGAACATGTACTGGGGATTCATGTGACTAGGCATGTGAATAGGAAAGACCTGATGGCACTACCACTAAAACAAATTTGTTGTAGTGATCGTTGAAAATCAAAGGTTCATACTACTATTCAACAGTCCAATTTCTATTGCAAGGCCAACATACTTTACTATTATGGTTGATAAGCCATCACCAAAAGTAGGTTTAAAGGATTGGGGGTAACTTTTGGAACATGAAATTGCATTATCAAAAGATTTGAGAAGGGGAGAGCAGTGATAGCCAATTCATCAATGGGATGTTACACCAAACAATAGCCCTAGGCTTGATTACATTTTTACTGTGTAGGTTTTATTGTTTTGTGTCTAAATTTGTTGAATATATATTACTTAAGTTGGTGGTCTAGTGATAAGTTGTTCTTGTTTAGGGTCTTTCTTGACTCTCATGTAATCAAATAAAGTTCGATTTATAGAAGTAATGCGATTTGCTGCTTCACTTTAATGGTTCTGTGGTGATGCACTACACTTTAGAGTTAGTTACTATGGTTCAAACCAAATATTCTACAGTGGGAGATACCCTCATAGTCACGTCCAATAAAAGTTACTATCTACTAGTCATTCCTCTTTCTCCCTCTTTTTGATCAAAATTTTTTTTTCTTGAAAATTAGAAATTAAAATTAGGTCGGACATTAATGTATCCAAAATTCAAACCAATAAATTGTTATATGATAGATGCAGGTTGTAAGTACTGATCAAAAATATTAACTTATATCCGATTAATCGAATTTATATTCAAATCAAAGTCTGATATACTTACCCACCATCCTACATGCAAGATATTGACTTTATTGTCTTATTAGTGACGTATTAGGTATTGTATTCTAAATCCTGTTGCAGTTAGTTCAGTTAGGATTAGAATTCAGCAAAGAAAATAGAAGGTAGGACCAACCACCATTGATGTGACCATCAAACAGGAAAATGATATATTTCCCTTCACCTACTCACAATTCCCTGCCAAATCCACTAAGAAATTCACCGTGGCGCTAAAAATTCTCTCTCCGTACTTTTCACCTACCAGCCACTGTCCTGGTGGAGGTCTCTGTCCTCCTCTATCAAGTTTTAACCTCTTTCATCATTTAATTGGATTTCTTTGTCCTCTATCAAATTTACCAAACAGACACCCCCACTTGCTGAAGCAGTTCCCAACATAAAAATATTCAACCTATCCTAAGCGTTGCAACTCGGAACTTAGGAATTTTAGAATCCAATTAGTCAACTATAAATTCAATTTCAATTGTTATTTTTAACCGATTATCCAAATACGAATTTGTAAAATCATTTTTTACAGATTTCAAATCCAAAGTAAGCTTATGTTGTTTACACCTAAGATAAAATTGAGAGCTTAGTTGATCAAATTGATTTGATATCAAGATATAATTCTCTATACTTGGTCTTAAGAATTGTCAAAATCTAATCCCTCTGATAATCGTATTGGATTATTCCAATGTTAAATGGATCCTTTGATAGGCCTAAACAGAACAAAAATATGTACAACATCTTAAGCATTTTTATATACCCTTAATGCACTGTTGTTTTATAGTATGTGACAGAGATTATAATACATAAGACCAAAAAAGTACAAAAACCTCACAAAATTACACAGCTTTCCCACCTAGAGCCCCAAACATAGCCACATGCAGAGCACAACAAAGGTCTGAAGAAGAAAACAGCCATGGACATTACCCATGTGCCACCCCACAACCCAAAATTCCCCATTGCACCCCTAAGATTCCTCAAAATTTACATAACTGAGCATGCATTAGGGTTTTCATCACTGAAGATTTGAGGATGGTATGCATTAGGGTTTTCATCACTGAAGATTTGAGGAGGGTATGCATTAGGGTTTCCATCAATGTAGATTTGAGGAGGAGGAGGGGGGAATGCATAATATTCTTGGGTAAAACCTTGATTATAGAGCTGGAAGTTGTGTGGGAAGTAGTTGCGATATTCATTCTTTTTTAGCTCAATTATGGGCTCTTGTTCTTCTCCCTCTGCCGCTGCTGCTGCTGCTGCTGCTGCTTTTTGCAGCTTCTTCAATGGCTTCCTTCTTCTTCTCTTTGCTCTCTTCTTCAACTTTCTTGTCATCCTTTTCTTCTCCTTTTTTCTCTTCTTTGGCTTTATCTTCTTCCTCTTTCTTCTCTGGGTCTACCTTCACAATCACTGCCTGCTTCCCTGTTCTCTTGTGTATGTATTCCACCAGATTTTGTGGCTCCAACGCCCCTTTCACTGTCACTTGTGAGCTCTTTAGATCTGGCTCTGCACTCTCAACACCTGAATGAAAAAAATAATATGATGGAACCTAATGTTAATCTAATATCTAAACCCTTTATACCATCAATTACCAGTGAAATTTTAACTCAAAAGACGTCTGAATTTATGTTACTCTATAGTCTTAAGTCTTAAACACTAGCCTTCTCTACCACCCATCTGGGTTCAAACATCAATTTAAAAAGATTGGAGTTTTTGGTGGAAATTTTTTGGAATTGGGTATTGATGGGAGTGTAATATTTTAAGTAAAATCTGGCATTAAATTGAAATTAAAGAAGACTGAATTGACTTGAATTTTGACAGAGTCCAGCAGAATCTAAAGACTTCAATATTTTATTACACCAAGACAGAGTTCAAAAAAAATATTTTATTCCACTTAAAGAATATAAAGATTGGGAAAATAGAATCAAAAAACTCTATTATTTTAGAGATTCAAACAGAAAAGAAAATAGTTGGGTGTTTGGGACTGTAAATACAGCTAAAAAGGGTAGCAAGAGATTTTTTTTTTTTCAATGGTTAAAGTGTTCGGACAAACTCACGCGTATTACTCCCCTATCCAATTTTAAGTCGACTAGAATATTATAAATCCGTGCAACCTTCTGTTACCACTTTAGCTTCCTTGGGCTTAAGAGAAATTGTTTAAACCCAATTGAAACCAATAGATTACCGAGCATATGAAGAATCTCGTGAATAAAAAATAAAGGAAAAAAACAAATTTTTTTTTTACCTTTCATTCTTTCTATACGTTTCTTGATTACTTGCGAACAAGCCTCACAATGCATGTGGACTTTCAAAACCGCTGTAATCACCTGAGGCTGAAACACAACAAAACCATGACCTCAACAACCCCACCAACAAACAAATTCATAAGAAAACCCCCCAAAATTATTTTTTAAAAAATCCCAAATAAATACACAAGAAATTACAAAAACCTCCTCTGTTTTTTGTTCGGGTTTGGCAATTTCTTTCTCTTCAACTTTTTTGGGTTCGTCGGCCGGCGGTTTCGGGATCGGAGTGAGAAGCTCAACCTGTCGGTGACTCTTTTTCTGTACTCTCTCAAGTACCTTCAATGGATCTGCCTTTTCTCCCTTCACAACGACCTTATGCGTCTTGCAATCCGTCTCAACATCCTCAACTCCTGAAAACCAAAAATGGTTTAGATAGAGAGAGACAGAGAGAGAGAGAGAGGCCATAGACCAAAAACATTGCAGAACAGAGTTCAAACCTTCGAACCCTTTGAGGCATCGACGGACTTTTCTGGCGCAACCTTCGCAATGCATGAAGACTCTGAGAACAATCTCTTGAGGAGGAGGAGGAGGAGGTGGTGGGTCTTTGGAATCTTTTCCATCCTTGGGTTCCTCTCCTTTTTTCTCTTCTCCCTTTCCGTCGCTTGGTTTTTCGGATTTTGGGTCTTCTCTTTTCTCTTCCCCTGGTTTTTTCCCTTCCTCTGGTTTCTTTTCCTCCGGATTCTTTTCCTCTAGTTTCTTCTGTTCCTGAAAACTCCACCAAACATTACCATGTCAGTACATAGAAACAAGAGAGAGAAACAAAAAATGGTTGAATTTGAGTGAAGATTTGGAGTTTAGGACCTCCCCCATTTGGTTTCTCTGGTTGCAAAATGAGAGAATCGAGTTGAAAGTAGCTGATAGGCTTGCACAAAACCTCTCTCTCTCTCTCTCTCTGAGTAAAGTTTGTAGCTTGGAATTGTGTACCACCACTATCGTAATGAGCTTCTCTTGGCCATAATCTTCTGATCTATATGAATACTGATTTTCGTCATCATGTAACTGACGTGGTAATTATATAGGCGGCACGTGCAAGTAAGGACATATTTGGCAGCTGCGACTCTTGGTACTGTTCGGAGTTATTCTATTACTACTGTACTGTTATATAATACGAAAAAAAGACAGCTATTAACACCGTACCAAAAATTGCAAAAAATTTATGATCGATTTTAAAATATTAGAATCAATCATAAAAAAAAAGTTATAATTTTTAAATATTAAATTACAACTCATAAAAAAAATTATACAGAGAAAATCTTATGATGGACTATGATATTTATAATCAGACATGAACTTCTTTCAATTAGATGAAACTTTATCTTCTTTTTTTTTTCTTATTGTAAGAGGTAAAAATTGAGGACACCTCCTTCAAGAATGAAAAATGAACATTTTTTATAAGAGTGAGCTCTGAACCTAATTCTCCTGTCTTTGCTTCCTGTAAAACGAACAAACTGTCCAAGATCGAAGTGTTTCAATTGAAGACACTTCGATGTTTAAGTGAATAATGAAACTGAAACAATTGTAAGAAGGCAATGAGAGTTCAGCATACCTTTCACTCTGGCTCCTTGTGCTTTTTATAGATCCCTGTTCAATTAGGGTTTTCATAATTTTTGATTCAAGGTGGCATACCTTCCTTCAATTAGGTGACTCTGTTTGGGAAGTTGTTGAAATCCCTCTAGCAATTCCCTTAGCCTGGCCTATCATTAAGCCCATTAACTTATCTAGGATGCCTGAGTTATAGGCAAATCTTTTGCTCTTTGTTTGACTGTTGAAACAGCTTGGTCGCAATGAGGATTGACCTCTTTCGTTTCTTACCGAACTCATCAAACAGCTCTGCTCTGGACTATTGAGTGTCTGATGTCTCCATCACGTGCCTTGTTTTGTCACTCACATGAGCTCATTTAATGTCATAACATATACAATAAAGGGAACCACCCCTTTCATTTGCCCCCAGAAAAATGTCTGATAGACGTCTTTCGTCTGTCAGCTGTTTTATGTCTTTTCAATCATCATTGCGCATACTTGTCACATTTCCCCTTGTTTTGGCGACATGCTTGGTATTTAAATAGTCTTTTGGAATTCCCTCTTTTATAGGTAACCTCTTTCATTCATTCTTTACTGTCTTTTCAAACTCCTTGACTTCTTTTCTTTTATCTTCGTCATCTTCTACCATGGCCCCTCTTACTTCTCCTGAAGCTCCTGCTTTCAAAGTTAAATACAATATTCCAGATGAAGTTGACGTAAGAGTCGCTAGAAAAGACGAACCTCTGATAGGCACAAGAGAAAGCATTCTCATTCATACTCGAGTGATCACTGAGGGTGAAGTCCGATTCCCTCTGGACCTTCTCCTTCTCTGGGTACTTTCTGCAACTAAACTCTGCCCCATCCAATGCTGCCCCAACTTCTTCAGGATAGTGATGGGGGTAGCTGCTGTGAACAAGCTTCTGGGCTTGAGTCTTGGTTTATAGGAGATTTTATACTGCTACATTATCAAACTGACTGGAGACAACTACTATCTGGCGGTGAGGAAGAAGGACTGTTACTTGGTGACTCATCTCCCAGCTACTAACAAAGGTCATGAGAACGATATTGTCTTTGTTTCTGAAAATTGGGAGTATGCCGCTGGTGTTGTTCCATCCTATCGTTGCCCTTACGAAGAAGGCACTCCAGGTATCTATATTTTTTACTTTTCTACATTGGCTTGTTTGTCCACTCCTTTCTGACATAAGCTTTCTTTTGTTTGAAGGCAATACTGTGAAGGGTAGAATTCTTAAGTCTTCTGTGAAAATGGGTGAACTCATAATAGTTTGGGGCTACAATGAGTCTTTGTTCTGTCGAGCTGCTCATACCCTGCTTAGGTATACGCCGACCTATACATTCTTCATAGTCGTGCTGAATCGTCCCAATGCTATTCTTGCCGCAGATCGGGAGGCCATTCAGACAACTTGGGAACAGACTCCCCGATCTCGTAAGAGGTCTTCACTTGCAATTTCTGGAAGAAGAACGGTGAAGAATTTAGACTTTTTATCAACTGTCAAACTGACCCAAAATGTCGAACAGTCCATGCCACTTGATCCTTAAGCTCCTTTGATCACTGTTCGAGAAGAAGAATATGCAATCAAGATTCCTACAGAAATTGTTCTTCCCGAGCCAGACAATGCAATTCCGCCAATCAGCGACCTAGCAAACTTCGCTCGAGCCGCTGAAACATCAATTCATATTGAATTAGATCCTCATTCTATTCATTCTCCTGATCAAAATGACTCAATTTTTGAACTTGTTGAGGACCCTGCCCCTAAAAGGCGAAGAATTGCCGAGTCTGAAACAAGTCTTTCCCCAAAGCCAGTTAATCCTCATTTTCGACCTATCCTCAAGGCCAAAAGGAGAGAGATCACTATAAAAGAGCTATCGAAGACTTTAACGTTGCGGTGGGGGTCGCTAGAGGAGTCATTCTGCCTCGAGACCTGGCTACGAACGAAGCTTTAACAGACGACAAAATGTCCTGCCAGGCTATTCAACACATGGTCTCTGTAAGATTTGTTCCTTTAGGCCTTTTCTTCTTTCTTCATAAATTGTCTAAGTTTTTCCTCTTTTCAATTTTAAGGGTCTGCAAAAAAGTTCACAAGGTGGGGGCTAGGATAGCCAGGAAAGATAAGGCTGTAAAAGATGTCATCCAAGCCCGAGCCTTAGCCTTAGCCAAGAAAGAGTTTGTAGACGAAGAGTATGCCAAAATCTATGAAGAGGCTATGGTTCTGCAGGCTCAAAATCAAAGCCTGACCTCGGAGAACCAAAAGCTTCGGACCAAGAATGGGCAACTAAAAGATTCTGAACATGAGGTGAACGTAGAACTCTCTCAATCCCAGCTCGATTACACTAGTCTTCTGAAGGAGTTTGAATAGTACAAGGTTGAGGCAAAGGAGAGAGAAGATGTTGCATATGACAAAGGAGTTGAGAAGGCGGAAAATGAATTGAATTTGCAGATCCCTCAACTTCAGGATGCATACTTTAGCAAGGGCTGACATGGCGCTCTAATTGCTGTTGGAGTTCCATATTCTTCTAAACTTTTTTCTAGGCATTCCCTACCAAGCTCCTCCCAGCCTCTTGCTTCCTAAACAAGACTTGGAAGATTTTGTGCTTTTTTGATGTATATGTTCAAAAGATCCTATTTAGATGATCTTGTAATCTTTTGAAGCTTAAATGAAAAAATGATTTTTAACCTTTCATTTTCTGTGATTAATTTTGAATATTTGAAAAAACTTGACTTTCGAAGTTTGAGGCCTTTGTTCGACTTTTCTTCAAAAGAGCTCGGTCTTTCAATAGGGACCTTGAAATACTAAGAAAAAATTCTTAGATTCTCAAAGTTGTGGCTTTTGCTCGGCCCTTTCAAAGAACTCGATCTCTCAACACAGACCTTGAAATACTTAAAAAGTTCTTAGACTCTCGAAGCTGTGGCCCTTGCTTAGCCCCTCTTCAAAGAGGTTGGTCTCTCAACAGAGACCTCGAAATAATTAGAAAAAATTCTTACTCTCGAAGTTATGGCCTTGGCTCTGCCCCTTCTTCAATGAGCTCGGTCATCTAGTAGAGTTAGCCTCTAATTTTCATTTTAGATTGCTTTCAATGACTTTTCTACTTCACACCGACCTGTCGATCTAATCGGATTCAAATCCATCCAAATTAGCTTACATCGTCATGCCTAGCTGAGAGACTGGATCTGATCGGGTGGCTGCGCCTGATTTAAATATATACCTCTATCAGGGTTTCTTGCCTCTCTACCTTAGCAGTAGGACATTTTTTGATGATAAGGAACAGAAAGATGTGTATTGAAAACTTCCATAACTTTTGTTCATCAATACATTAGTAAGAGTGATCTTGCTAGTTTTTCAAGATAAGAGACACCCTTACGTTTTCGAAGGTACTTCGAAGTTCCATTTTTGAAAAGACACTTTTCAGAAATAGAACTTTCTTAGATTTGCAGCATTCCAGGGATGTGGCACCATTCTATGGTCCAAAGTCTCTAGCTTATAGTACCCATTTCCTCCTACTCGGGCTACTCGGTATAGCCCTTCCCAATTGGGCTTGAGCTTTCCATTTGTTGGGTTCTTAGCTGAGCTCAGAATGCGCCTCAAGACTAAGTCTTCAAGGGTGAAAACCCAAGGATTAACTTTCTTGTGGTAGGCCCAAGACATCTGTTGCCGATAAGAAGTCATCTGTATTGCTGTTTGCTCTCTTCTCTCCTCTGCTAAATCTTGGTCCCGAGTGATGGCAGCATCGTTACATTTGTTTATAACCAACTCGGTTCTTAAGGTCGGCAAATAGACTTCTAATGGAATCACCGTCTCCATCCCATAGGCTAAAGCAAATAAGGTTTCTCCAGTTGAGCGCCGAGGTGTGGTTCGGTACGTCCATAGTACACTCGCAATTCTTCAACCCACCTTCCTTTGGCATCCTAAAACCTCTTCTTAATACCGTCCAGTATTATCTTGTTGAAAATCTCCGCTTGTCCATTACTCTGAGGATAAGTCGGGGTCGAATAGTGGTTCCAAATTTTATACTATTGGCAGAAAGTTTTGAAGGGACCACTATCAAACTGAGTTCCATTATCAGAGATGAGTGCATTAGGGATTCTGAACCTAGTGATAATGTTCCTCCAAACGAACTTCCTTGTATCAGTATCTCTGATGTGAGCTAGGGGCTCAACTTTCACCCACTTTGAGAAATAATTAGTTGCACCGAGGAGAAACTTCTTATTTCCAGGGGCCCGAGGTAATAGTCTCACAATAACTAGCCCCTATTGCGTAAATGGCCATGGGCACGCCAATAGAAGCAGTTCTTGTGATGGTTTTCTCGGTATTGGTGAGAATGTTTGACACTTCTCGCACTGTCTGACATACTGTTG